TGATTTTTTTCATGTATTTTGCAATACTTTTGAATTTAGCAAAATATCTTTGTTTACATTCTAGTGATTCCTAATATCAAAAAGAATAAAGAGTTAGAAAACAAATTTCCCTCTTTTTAGTATGCCTTTCTCTTCTCCTTTCTCTCGTTCCGTCTTTGTTTCCTTTTCCCATCCTCCTTTCTTCCCTGTCTTACAGAATTGGGAAATTGGAGTACAGTATACTTTTTATCTGTTAAATAAAACATTTATGCCTCAGCTGGTTTGGCTCAGTGGGTAGAGCATCGGCCTGTGGACTGAAGACTCCCGAGTTCAATTCCAGTTAAGGGCACATGACCGGGTTGTGGGCTCGATCCCCAGTGTGCGGTGTGCAGGAGACAGCCAATCAATGATTCTCTCTCATCACTGATGTTTCTATCCTTCTCTCCCTCTTCCTTCCTTACAAATATTCTTAGCATTTAAATCAAATGCTAATTTGTGGTTCAACAAAATTAGAGTTCCTTTTTGACCCAGTAGTTGCTAAATATGGAAATCATCTTAGCTTAAAATTAATTCTCCAACCAGTTCTTACTCTCTGAGAATCATTCATTTTTAATAAATTTGGAAAATGCAATTGTTCAAGCTGTTAAAAGACTTGGGTTTTGATCATTTTACTTGGAGAACTAATAAAATTTTCTAGTTCTTTATATCTTTTTATATGGCAATTTGAAAGCCACGTGTGTTTTAAATTTTGCTAATTCAAATTTTTATTTATGGATGGATCACAATGAATATTTCAGAAATAGTGTTCACTTAAGTATTAGTTGTAGTACTTAAGAATGCATCATTTTTTAAGATGTTAAGTATGGAATTTGTCCCATGTTATGTTAATTTGAAACAAATCTACAGTAAACAAGTTAAAAAATAAATCATCTCACTGGCATTTTTAGAACTATAACTGCCACTTCAAGCATAGAACAGTTATGTAACTTTTTCTATACAGTGTATTCTCAGAATTTGGTAATCTTATAATATTTTTGCTATGTATTTTATGGTGATATATAAAAATCCAGCTGCTACAAAGAAAACCCCTGCTTAGAAGTTGTTTATTTGAAACACTTTTACCTGATGTCAAAAACATTCTTTTATATTCAATACATCTATGACTGTAGATTTCATTTTTTTTTCTGCTTCAGAGTTTAATTCCAGATAGTTATACTGTGAGAGTTTTCTAAAATGGAACAAGGAAAGGGTTTCCTTCATCTGTCACGAAGCAAGCATGTTTTACTAACTCCTGTTAAGCACTTATGTTACGTTATAATTGCCTAATTGACATGGTCTTGACATCCAGGAGATACAGGGATATGATTGAGTTGTCAGTGGAACCCCAGTGCCCATCCCAGTGCCTAATGCTCTGGGCCTTCAATGTGGATGTTAAAAAATTGTATAAATGGATCTTTTCACAGCTTTATCTTCCTCTTTCTCATGACTCCCCTCTCCCCCAAATATTTCTGTCTCTCCCAATTATTTGCTCCAAATTATTGGCGTTTTTGGCACATAAATATTGTGTTATTGTGAAAGAATATGGGCTCTAAAGTTGATGTTAATCTCTCAAATTTGTTTAATTTTTCCAAGCCTTAGTTTTCTCATCTGTAAAATGAGAATAATACCTACCCACAGAGAGGTCATTAGGGAAAAATTAAGGCACGCAAAGATGAGGCTTAGTGCCAAGCTTAGTAGAAATGTAGTAAATATTCTACCCTTTTCTTATTTTCACTTGTTATTTTCATTTTTTAAATTAGGAAACTGAGTCCCTGAGAGGTTAAGTATCTTGCCCAAAATTAAATCCCTATATCTCTAGCCACATTTTTTTAGAGCTCCCTCCAAGGGGCCTGTAGATTCTCAATTTACTTTCATCTTCCCTACTACTCATTCCAGCTTTCCAACTGCACAGTTCTAAAAGCCTCCACTACTCTCAATTCTTTATTTTCCTTTTCAAATTAGCCAGTCATCAAGCCTTAAAATTTTGCCTCTTAATTGTTAATTGGAATTTATTCCCTCTTCTGCATTTCTACCATCTTAACTTAGTCCTTCAGCATTTTAGCAAGAGATTTTACTAGTTACCTACCTCTGCCAGGATTACCTTTCTAAAATACCAACCTGATTATATAGAGTCCAAATTACTTCACAATTGTGCTTTAACTTACCACACCAGCTTATCTTCTGCTCTCTCCACCCCCAAGCCATGCCCTTTCTACACTGGTCCCATCAAACCGTTGCTGTTAGGTGATAACTGTTCATACCACTGTACTTTGATGAGAAAAATTTCCGTCCCTACCAACTTCTATTTACCCTTCAAGACTTTCCTAGTTTACCCAAATAAAATTAGGCATTTAATTCTTAGGTTCCTATAGCACTTCTTACCTACTTATATTCTGTTATTTTTCACACATGGTGTAATAGTTTGCTACTGACTTCTCTTCCCACTCATTGGGCAGATGACTTATTCTCTATAAAATGGGGGGGAGGGGGTTCTACTACATTAATGAATCTCAACCTGGCTACACATTAGAATCACTCTATCAAGAACAATTGTATCAAAATTTCTATAGATCCTCCTTGCCCTAATCCATCAGGGATTTTTTTCCCCCTCAAATGATTATGATATTGTGAGGAAGGTTAAGAATCACTTATACTAGACCTTGGTTCTAAGATACCTTTCAGTTAAAATATTGCTATTCTATGAATTTACACAGTCTTTTGAAATATAAGAACATTCGAGTAATCAAACCAGGAGTTAAGTTAGAAAAAAATAGGGGAACAAAAACAAATCTATACTACATATATATCATTGTAAACCCCATAACAGTGCTATAATTTTATTTGAATCATAATATTAAAGAAATGAAGAGGAAAAAATAATCTTTTGTATTTATCTACATGTTTACTGTTTCTGATGTTTTTCATTCCTAATATTCAAGTTTCTATATGGTAACACTGCCCTTCAGCCTGAAGAAATTCTTTTAGCATTACTTGTAGCATGTGTTTGCTGGTGACAATTTTGCCTTCACTTAAAAAGGGTATTTTTGTTGGATGTGGAATTCTGGATGTGTAGTTATAAGAAACTCTGGATTCTGTAAGGTTCCCTCTCAGGAGTATTGCTATATTTTAACACACAGTTAACTTTGCTGAATTCACTTTTGCAAACACCGTCTTTTCTATGAAATCTCGGTTATATTCTTTTTGCCTTAGTTGGGCTGTTGGGAGTCTGCCCTGTATGTGCATAATTTAGGGGTCAACCAGAGGCTTGGGCAGAGTTTATACACAGAATTTAGGGGTTCCTCTTTTGTGGTTCTCTCCTTTCTGGAAACTAAATATAGAGTCAAGAAATCGATCCACATATACATGGCCAGTTGACTTGCAACAAAGGTGCCAAGGCAATTTAGTGAAGAAAAGATTACCTTTTCTACAAATGGTGCTGAGACAATCAGATGTCCTTATGCCAAAAAAGAAAACCAGAAAACTTTGATTCAGATATCACAACATATATAAAAATTAACCCAAAGTGGATCATAGACTTAAATGTAAAACAAAAACTATAAAATATCTAAAAGAAAACACGAGCTAATCTTTGTGACCTTGGGTTAATCAAAGATTTCCTAGCTTCAACACTAAAAACATGTTTCATAAAGGAAAAAATTGATAACTTGGACTTCATCAAATTCAAAGCATCTGTTCTTTACAAAACACTATTAAGAGTATAGTAAAATAAGGCATTGACTTGGAGAAAATATTTGCAAATTACATACCTGATAAAGGACTTTTGTTCAGGATATATAAAGAACTTTCAAAATGATAAGAAAATAAACCATCTAATTTTAAATATGAAAATAAAATAACTAAAATAAAAGATTGATCATAATCAAGTGTTGGTTAGAAAGTAGAACTCTCATTCACTGCTGGTAAGAATGTAAAATGGCACAACCACTTTAAAAAACAGGTTGTCAGTTTCTTTAAAATCTGAACATGCAGCTGCCATATGATTTAGCCCTTTCATTCCTAGGTATTTGCCCAAGAGAAGTGAAAGCATGTGTCCATATAAATGCTTGGACAAGAGCTCTAGCAGTTTTGGCTCAGTGGATAGTGCATCGGCCCTTGGACTGAAGGCTTCCTTCTGGGTTCAGTTTCGGTCAAGGGCACATACCTCTGTTGCAACTCGATTCCCGGCCCTGACCAGGGCGTGTGCAGGAGGCAACCAGTCGAGGTGTCCCTCACATCAATGTTTCTCTCTCTGTCTTTATCCCTTCCTTTCTCTCTCTCTCTCTCTCTCTCTCTCTCTCTCTCTCTCTCTCTCTAAGAAAAATAATAATAATACTTGTATAGGAATGTTCATAGCATCTTTATTTTCTAATAGGTAAAAACTGTAAACAATTCAGTGTCCACCTATAGATGAATGAATAAACAAACTGTGGTATGAAACGCTACTAAGCAGGCAACAGTTTTATCAAATGTTTTGCCACTGAATGATATGGACCGCCATCCTTCTAGCTTTCAGTAACAGTTTGTTTTTGCTGCCCACCGCTCAGTTCCTAAGCCAGTGTCACATATTTAGGGTTTTTATTGTGTCTTTGGTGCTTCAATTATTGATTTCTCTGTCAATCAGGTTAATTTGTAGCAGTTAAAATAGATTTTCAAGCCAGACTGCTTTTTTATTTTCATCAGCTTCAGTTGACTTTGTCTCATTTTAGGTTGCATTAAAATCTTTAAGTAATGACACCAGTAACTATAACTTTTCTTTAAACTGTCCAAAATATCATACAGAATACTTGCAGCTTTTATTTACCTAGTTGTTAGATGGGAAATATATTGTTCCTGTGTGTTGTACAAGAACCTGAGGTCCAGAGAGGGCAACTGCCGCATAGCAGGGAAACTGAACTAGTACTAAGGGATCCCATTTTAATACTTTTGTGCAAATTGAAGAAAAATAAATGTACCACATACTTACACATTCTTTATTTTGACAGTCTCTTCAACAGACCACATTTAAGAGGTGTCTCGGACTCCCCGTTGCCAGTGGCTGGAACACAATGGATCACACAGGGGCACTAGACACTGAGGATGAATTGGGACCTTTAGCCCATCTTGCTCCAAGTCCTCAAAGTGAAGCTGTTGCCCACGAATTCCAGGAACTCTCCTTGCAGTCCAGTCAGTACTTACCCCCTCTGAACGAGCGGAAGAATGGTGAGTTCTTCAGCATGTGCAGTGGGGACTTTGATTTGATTTAGACTTTGTGAGCCCAGTTTATTTCTCTTTGGTAGTAATTTTGTTGTTGCTGTTGCCAGTTACATTTGGCAGTTTGTCACACAGGAGAGAACCTCATAGGAGAACTTCTTTGTTTTGAGTAACAGGCAGAATTTCACTTTCCATCCAGTTCTTCCATTATTTCCTCATTATCTTTAGTAGTAGCATTCTCTTTGGAAATGAGCTTTAAATGCAACCATTTTAGCACCAGCAGAAGATTTCATGCTAGAATGGTATTGGAAATTGGCTTTCTGTGCTGATTCCAGGGAAGATAGATTTGTGGAATTAAATGGGTTCTCCTCCCAATTTCCCCATCTCCAATGTGTTGCACCTTAATTTCAGAATTGGCAAAATTTGCGCTATCTTAATGATCACTAAGAAAACAAGAATGTTTTATTTGAGTATTTTTATTTTAATGAGTGTTAGATATGGCCATATCTTCAGTCTTTGGCTGGCTCATCATTGGATACAAAATGAATATTTTCTATTAATTTGTTATCTGTTCAGGAAATTTTCATTGATTACAGAGACATCTCAGAGTTTCCAAAAACACAATACAGTGGGGTCTTGACTTACGAGTTTAATTCGTTCCGTGACGGAGCTCGTAACTCAAATTACTCGTATGTCAAAAGTGAACGGGTGAGACACGTGATGCTGAGCTGATGTTGTGGCATTCACTGTGACCTTCGCTGCGCCAACTAGCGGTGGGGTATCTGAAGCTGGCTCGTAACCCGAATTTTAGCTCGAAACTCAAAGCAAAAAATCGGCCGAGAGACGGCTTGTATCTCGAAAAACTCGTTAGTCGGGACGCTCGTAAGTCAAGGCCCCACTGTACTGCCAATTTTTAACGTAAATTAATGGAGATGATATAACATATTCTTAATACTTAAAACATAAAACTAGCAAATATAAACTATTAAAATTTGCAAACACACTAAATAAGTATGCATAATAAAAGTGTGGGGTTAAGAATTTCAACTGGATTTACTGTGCTTTCCTCAGTTCTGATGAGTGTTATATTCCCAAATATATTTTTTAATTTAATTTTAAAAGCCAGAAGAAATAAAACTGGTTCCCTGTAGAACACTTCCTTGTTATTTATTTTTCTGGGTTCTGAGTATTTCCCAATTCTTTTCATTATTGGCCTTATCTTATTCAGGAAAATGGATAAAAGATATACGCTACTAGTATATGTCTTTGGAGTATAACTTGTTCTCCCTTCAATATGATATCTGATACTTGTATCTGATACTTGTTAGGCACAACCCTTGTGCAGTTTAATTGGTACACAGCAATATTTTGGCTAAGGTGCTCTCAAAGCCTTCATGAAGCTGTGGATGATGGATGGATGACGGCTTTAGAACCTTCCATCAATTAAAGGCCTAGCTTTATCTTAGTGTCTGAGAGAGAATAACCACATTTTCTGAAACATAACTAAATGTGATCAAACTTACACTGTACACTTGGATCAGTATAATAATGTTCAAATTATTATCTGCAAAAAAAAGAGGGTTGATTGTTTATAAAATTGCCCTAATATACAATTGCTCAAAAAGATGGTCATATGTAGCAGAGGAGAGAAGTGAAGTGTGTGAAATAAGTTTATACTCTGGAGATTTACTTGATTCAGCTCACCACATTATCTTATAAGAATGTTCTCTTGAATATGTATGCCTGAATATAAGGTAAACTCAAATACAAGGTGGTCTCCCCTTATAAACTTTTAGGGAGGTTGATGAAATGGTAAAAGTTTTAATTTTTTGATTTAGTTACATATATATAATTCAAGTCACATTTTATGAAGCAGTACAATAATATAGAAGAATTGCTTTATCCATGCTTATATTTTATAAAACCAACTTGCTCAAACTCTATCCATGAATCTTTGTGGTGTTTTTATCCTCTTTGCATCATCCAATTAGCATGAAAATCCAGGTGCATCTTCATTTCTGTCTCTTTTGTTTAAGTTACAGCAGTTGTTGAATGCATGCATGATCTGACATTGAAGATTTTATGTGTAGACCACAGGTACCATTTACAAAACAGTGGGGCTGCAGTTTTTTGTTTTATTTTCTTGTATGTGTCTTATAGTTATGTATTCATGATCTCGATAACATAATTACTCAAGTTTTAATCTGTGATTTACAACATTTTATGGGGCTATAGTTTCTGTTTCTGAATTTAATCCCCTCCCTTTTTTTTTTAGTAGTAATACATTCACAGAGTTTAAAAAGTAAAGGGTGCAAATTGGTAAACAGTGAAAAATAGGTCACCCTCCCAGTCTTGTCCCTTAGTCATCCAGTTGCTTCCCCTCAAGTAGCAACTGTTAACTTGTGTTTTTTTCTGAGAGAATGCTATTTGATTACTTTTTTAAAAGCAGTTTTGAAAGTCTTTGTAACAACATCCAACACTTTAATTTTAAGGTTATAACCTAGGAATAATTAATGTGTTAATTTTTCCCCACTGTTTTTTTTATTCTATTAAGGTATTTCTGTCCTAAAACCAGCTTCTAATGAAATTGATTTAAAACATTTTTTGAATTGAATTTGTTGGGGTGACATCTATATAATAAAAGGCTAATATGCAAATCGTCTGAATGGCAGAATGATCAGTCACTATGACTCGCACTAACCACCAGGAGGCAGACGCTCAATGCAGGAGCTGCCCCCTGGTGGTCAGTGCGCTCCCACAGTGGGAGTGCCACTCATCCAGAAGCCAGGCTCATGGCTGGCAAGCACAGTGGCAGTGGTGGGAGCCTCTCCTGCCTCTGGAGCAGTAAGACACTCCCCAACTGCTGGGGGCACAGGCCCGGCTGAAGGACACCTTCCCCCCCACAAGTGCACGAATTTCATGCACCAGACCTCTAGTTGGTTAATAAAAATGTATAGGTTTCACATGTACAATTCTGTGACACATCATCTGTATATTGCATTGTGTGTTTACCATCCAAAGTCAGATCTCCTTGCGTCACCTTATATTTGACCCCCTTTACTACCTCTCCCCCAGTCCGCTTTCTCTCTGATAAGCACCATACTGCTGTCTGTGTCTATGAGTTTTTGTTTGTTCATTTGTTACTTTCAGTTTTATATCTCACATATGAGTGAAATCATGTGGTTCTTGACTTTTTTTTTGTCAGACTTTGCTTTGCATGATAGTCTCAAGATCAATCCATGTTGTTACAAATGGCAGTGTTTCATCTTTTCTTATGGCTGAGTATTATCACATTGTATATATGTACCACATCTTCTTTATTCAGTCATCTATAGGACACTTCAGTTGTTTCCATGTGTTGAAATATGCTACAATGAATAATACTGCAATGAACATAGGGGTACATATACCTTTACGAATAAATGTTTTACTCTCTTCATAATTTTTTAGGAACCTCCATATTGTTTCCCAAAGCTAATGCATTTTTCTCAAATACTTTTTTGTTTAATATTAAGTAAATGAAGGAGCATCTTAGAATATGAGATACTGTGTAAGGACTCAAATATGAGAGAATCTTCTTTTTTCTAACAACTGACTTCAGGAAGTTAAAATCCTTACCTTATATTTAGGCATACACTAATTTTAGGTTTATGATACATTAGCCTAATTTGTGTATATATTACAAAGCATAAATGGAATCCTTGTACAGCTATCGGAAATCTAAGTTTTTATTGCAGTTAGGTAAGTACTGTAGAACCACATAAATACATATAGATGGGAGAACCATAACTTTTTTACCTTAATGAATTTTTCAAGTTTATTCTTCACTTTTTAGGTCTTCTTAATGCCTGTTTAAATCATATCATATTCAAAATGTAGGTATTAGCCTAAAAATTAATTAATACAAAATATGGTTAAAATATTTTGAAATAATCAGATTTAGATATTTTCTTGATGGTTGTATTTTATTGTTATTCCTAAGTATTTGAATTTCACTTGTTAGAATTATTTTCTTTTCTGTTGGGGAACAATGACGACATTTCAATTTGGGCTTAGTGTGTAGAAGGATTATGTCACCAAAAATTTTATAAATAAACTTTACTTGAACTTGACATTTAAGTAATGATTCCAGGATCTCCCCTTATTTTTTATTAATATTTATGTTGGCAGTAGTAGTGGAGTGGCAGAATATTCCCACTACTGGACTAAACATGAAAGATGTTTAGTAAAGATAAGCTAGGGTTTCCTTTACCCTTGAACGTGGCCAAAATAATTCTAGTTAGTGGCACTTCAAAAGTAAGGCAACCATTTAGGCAATTAACTCTTACCAACAAGTGAGTCCTTCATAAAAGAAAGTGGATATACAGAAATGCATAAATAATGTACCTTTACTAAGACAGTGCATACACATGGATGTGGAACTTTGTTTTGACATTTTATACACATTAGACTCATTTTCATGTTTCAGTAATAACACATTGCGGACGGATCATGAGAATTCTCATGTTTTCTGTTCTAAGATTTGTGACCAATCATACTTTAAAAGATATTAGCTTGTAAGAACATGCAATAAATAACTTCAAAATGCAATGGGTATTTAATTTGAAAGCGTGCCTTTAACATTTATGTAAAACGTTTTTTGTCTTCACTCAATAGGAACTTATCTGGCCACTGGGTAAAGCTAGCAGTAAAATTACTGGTCCCCAATGTGTTAACATTCCTTTAGATGAGGGAAATCAGTCAGGGGGACAGTTAGTTCTTTTATTGTTTAAACTAGTAGCCCTGCACATGAATCCGTGTGCCAGTAGCTCTCTGCAGGACCTGGCCGCTCCGTGCCCACTGCCCAGAGGCTCTCTGCGGCCCAGAGGCCCATCCCCGCCCCAGCCTGGCCAGAGCCCATCCGCGGCTGGGCGTGGAACGCTCACACTGCCCACTCTCAGTGGCCACCCCCCCCCCCCCCCCCGGGACTGGGGGACTCCGGCTGGGCTGAGAGGACTGGGCGCCGCCAT